TTTGTCTTGGGAAGAATAGAATTCCTAAAGACAGACTCAGACCAAAAAGATGAAATTCAGCATGGTAGTTATAAGTAAATTTTGAATGTGTGTGTGTGTGTACACACACAACTGTACATATATATAAAAAACTTAATGTTACATGTAACAATATTATATAACTACATACAACTCAATGTTATGTATATACATATACACATATATACACAATTATAAGCAGTCAATATTAGGCAACTTTGTGATAATATCTTCTTAAAAATTTTGTTTAAGATTAATACAGTTTTAACCTACAATAGTATAAAGTCAGATATAGGATCTTTTATTCTGTACTGGTTTCAGACCACATCATAAGTATCATGTTAATTTTAGCTTCTTCATTTGAAGACAAACACTAGAAAATGGAAGTGGTTTTAGAGAGCAAGTGAGATGGTAAAGATTGAAGACCATGTAATGAGGCTTGAGTAAACCAGGGCTGTGGAGCAGTCATATCAAAGAGGAATTGGACTCCTTGTGTGGTTTCAGAGGGTAATTCTAAGACTAATTGAACTGGATTTTAGAGCTGTGTAATAAAGAACTTTCCAACAGTTTTACATATCCATAAATGGAATGAACTGCCTTGACAAAGTAGTGAGCACTTCTTTCTGGAGGTGTTCAGACAAGAGCTGGATAGACCCTGTCAAGGATGTTGTGAATAAAAGTGTAGCCAAGATTATTTCCTAAAATGTTCCCAAGTCAGACTTCCATGAGCCTATGAAACAATAATTTGGCCTGCATTTATTCTTTTTTGTAGCCATTTACTAATAAATTCATTACTTGCTCTACATTGATATTGCTGACCTAGGAATTTAAAAGAAGAAAAAGACTTGTGTTGCTTTTATCTCATTTTAATAAAATAATGATACTTTTCACTTATGCAGCACTTTTCATCCAAGGATTTCAAAGTGCTTTACAAATACGCACTAATTAAGCCTCACAAACAGCCAGAGGTAGGTGATTTTCTTCTCTTTCTACAGGAATGTCAACTCTGGCCCAGAAATTTAATAAGAGCCTGTGAGTGCCTGGGATTCCTTACTGGCTGCCATTCCCTTGTTATGTGCTGCATGTGAAGCATCACTTGTCATTTCCAGATTTATTTTTTCCTGCTCTAAATCATCTCAAGTTTAGAATTCTAATGATTGCTATTACAAATGTGTTTGAAGTCTTGTAAATATTAGTGAAAACTCAGTCTTCTGCTTGCTGAATGCTAATTAGATTTCTAAATTTATTTAAAAAAACACACTCTAGATGTGGTTTTCTATTTGTTGTTGAGTTTTAAATATAATTTTTGTCTTTTAAAGAACTTGTCATTTTTCTTCCTAGGTACCCAGAAATAATTGTTTTTGGGAAATAAAACTTAATGGCAGATTGACTTTTTGCCCTTATCATTCCTAGTTATCTTTTTGCAATAAACAATAACTATTTTCTTTGGACCAGAATTATGTATTTTCAGGAAGAGACACTGTATTTTGGTGATTCAAAGGTCCAAAATATGTTATCTGAACATTAAGGATAAAGGTGAAATGACACTAAATAACCAAGCCTGTAAAGAAAAAGTACTATAATAGTGGCATATACTAATCTAGAGGGATACACCACTTTTTATGTGGGTTAGGAGTAGCAAGAAGAAACTATGTACATACTGAGACACGCACCCTACAAGATTGGATTAAATTCCAGTATACTTATAAATAGCCACATATTCAAACTGGTATCTGAAGCAAAATGGTCACACAAGGCAAGAGCAGATGTGGCATATCACAGCTTACTTTTCCTTGCTTCTCAGGGCCCCTAGTGAGGGCATACAAATTCCTGTGATACACACTATTGAAGTCAAGTCTTTCCAGATCAGGAAAGCACAATTTTTGCTGCAACATTGCCTTTCTATATTCATAGTTTCTATCTCCTTCAAGAACTTACATGAAGAATCTATCTGCTTCTGTTTAAAGGAAAACTCTCCTGGTTTTGAACTAAACTCAGCATTAGCAAGGCTATATCCTTTTCCCAAGGAAAAAAGTAAAGTGTCTACATATTCCAAAAGAATATCTCCAGGTTTTAGCATCCTGGAAAGCCTAATTTCCCCCACTATATTAGAAAGAATCAAATGAGAGGGATTAAAGAAACAAACTATTTGTTTCACAGTGAATTTAATTAAAAATGTATTAATTCTGTAGATATAGTTGATTTTTCATAATACAAAAGGACCTAGGACCTATGTCAAATGTATTCTCTAAACTGATCATAAATGTTTTAAATATTTTTTTCTTTAAACAGCAAGTTCATCTGTGATACATAATGAAGAATTCCAGAAAAGATCATTTTAGAGTTTGGTTTCAAATTTTATTCCTTTTTCCCCAAATGATATTTGTATATAGAAATTCAGAAAATGAAATGATGTCCTCTACACTGTAATACCCACAGGTGTCTCTGGGTGAACTGTTGACTGCATAAATAGATCTTTACCATAGTAACCTAAAGACCATGCTGTTCAAGACCAGAGATTTATAGGTTCAGAAACTCAGACTCATCAGTGCTCAAGGGTCATTCTTTCACTGACTTGGGACTTCTGATTCTTATCAACAATGTGCATGACATATTTTAAAAAGAAAAAAAAATCCATTTGTTAATGTATAATGGAAGTTATAACCATCAGGTAAATTAGGTAATATCTAAGTTTATTATTTACCCTATTGGCAAATTACATGGGAAAACAATGATCAATAGTTTGCTTATTAGTCATAGAAATAAAAAAAAGGGGGAGAATTTTGCAACTTGAATGTAGAATGGCCTCAGACTCTGAGAATGTTAAATTCCCTTCCTGACTGAGGACCAAACTGCAAAAAAGGCCAGATATTCCTTATGGTGTTATAGCTTACCAGATCACCACACAATTGCTTAGGTGGCTACAACCAGCATTGTAGCCGAGAAGCTCCTTGTTTTGTGCCAACAACTGGCAAACTCCCTTCTGAGGACCATCTTCTTTTAGATAAAATTACAGTGATATTGCTAACAAGTCATCTGTGAGATACTCTGTTTTGAAGGTGCCTTTTCATATTTCCTCACTGTCCCATATATGCCTCTTGTTTTCAAATTACTGAAATAGATCTTGCCATAGCCCCCAGATTGAGAAACGAACATAAGATTAACTTGTGTTTAACCTAAGTTTACTGCTATTTGGCCTCAGAGGAGTTGCTAAAAACGATAAGGACTGGTTAAAGACAGGTAATAAGCAGAAAGATGAAGAAGGAACAAGTTGAAATCCAAGCTATGTAATCAACAGTTGTATAATGCAGAGTTCTTTAGATAGATAATTACTTGTTAGCCTTAGTGCTTGCAGAGAAAAGTTTTCAATAACTTTTACTCTGATTTTAAGCTGATACCAGTGCCTCTTAGTTCACTGACTCCATTAATTTCTGAAACATCTGTTAAGCTACCTCTTGATTCCCTCATCACAAAATTTAGTCTCTCTTCCCATAAGACCAAAGTAAGAAAAGGTGCTTATATTTTTACCATTTCAAAATAAAATGTAGACTTAAAAATTTCAACCAACTTTGGGAAACTATAGACAAAGTTTTGATGTAGGAGGAGCCCAAAACAATAAATTGTGTCCAGGACTGCTCAGTACAAATGCTAACCTGAAACTTGTATTTCAGAACTTCCATTCTCCTAAAGGGTAGAGTCACTGGACCAGTATGTGTTATATGTATTTTGGCTCTTTACATTTACTCTTTAGTTCCATCTTAATACACACCAGCATGCGTGCACACGCACACATGCACATACACACATTTATTTAAAACCTTAACATTTTAATAGTTACTTCTAAAGTGTGTCAACTTAATCTCACTCTGAGTGTGACAGAGAGTTAGTGCCTATGTGAATATATTTTTTCATCAGATTCAGCTTTTGCTATTGAGGGAAAATTATCTTTCCATCTCCTCATGTAGTGCAAACTTAAATCATTTAAATATGTTTTATTTTTCCAAAACTTACATTTCTGCATTACAAATGGTTTCTATTGATTGGAAGTCAAGCTCACTAGCATTCACTGCATGAGCTATGCATGAGCATGTTAAGGCCACCATATTCTGCCTGGTAACATTAATACTTTGTCATTTTCCTAAGTGTCGGACAATTCCCTGACCTTTAAAAAGGACTTTGGAGAACAGATTTTCCTCTAAATAATGTATTAATAGATCAACAAGTAATTTTTTTAATAATCATGAAGTTTAACATACTTGAAGCTATCTTTACAGCTCTGAAGGTTATCTTTGGGTTTCTGTTTTTTCCATAGAATAAGTTGAACCAGAATTTGTAATTGCCTTGCTGTCACTCAAAAGAAATAGAAACTTTTTGTAATTGTTTGCATTGAGGAATCAGAGGAAGGATTTGCAGATCAAATCTGACTAATTTTCACATTTTGTCAAATTCCTTATCTTGTTCTTTTAATCATAGGCTTATGGTATGATTTGGCCCTGCATGAGAGTTCACTGATATAACTCAAACACATGTTTTTACTAAAAGTGGAATTAGTCCCATATCGTCATATGAAAAGACATTATAAACAGCAAAACTCACTTTACTACAGTTTTATTTTTATCATTCCCTAGCAATATATTACTGATCATTGCTAGCATGTAAAATCTTTTCATATTTTTGCTTAAGAGCCATATATAAGTAATTCATTAAATAAAACTTTTCTAACTTGATTCTTCCACTTTGTTTAGAATAGTACCTACTGACAGAGGTTTCTCATACTTTTAACACACTTTGTTAGAAGTATTTTATTATATACACTTTTAATGGCTCTATTAACCTTAAGAAAAAAAAGTTAGTGATATCCACATAAATCACTATCCCTGCTAGGAGGAGAATGTTGGTGGTATAAAAATCTAGGCCTCTTAATCTGCATTGTGGATGTGTGATGAAAAACGTAGCTTATCATTCCTTTTTCTCTTTTTTAGCCTTGGAATGGATGGCTTTGGCCAACCAGTTGGCATTCTTGGACGCCCTGCCACAGCATATGGATTCCGCCCTGATGAACCTTACTACTATGGCTATGGATCTTGATAAAGTATCTGTTTCCATGCGTTACCTCAGCTTAGAAGAAATCTGTGTGGGTTGGGTTAATTTTGGATCTTTGCCTAATAATGCATGTTGATGTTATTGTGGGTCTGTGTTTGTTTTTATTTTTATATGTTGTTAGCTGCAGATTAACCCCAGCCCCTTCTGTCTTCTGTTAAGTACAGTCGATACTGACATTGTTCACTCATCAAACCACATCTTGATACTGAGTAACATTTCCCATGAGCCTCAAAACTGAATGCTGAAAAGCTACTAGACTGGAAAAGAAACACTGCATTATGTACGTTAAGTGACTAATTTAATTTCAATTAAAAAGTATAAAGTGAAAATGAATACGTGAAAGTCATGTGTTTATATTTCACACGTTTCATTACGAATTACATGTTAACATAGGGTGCACATGAGTTTTATTTTTTGTCCTTTTCTTCTGCTTGTAAAGTCTTGAGTAATTCATATAATATATGCTACCTTTATAATTTATAAAAAGAACATCACCTTCATATTCCATGCCATGTGCCTGAAAGTTTCCTTCCCAAAGTTTATTAACTATGAGTTTTCAATTAATAATGGAACATATGCCATAAGTTATTTATGGTTATAGTCTCTTCAGAGGTTTCAATTCACGTCTTCCTGGTTGTAATATAGAAATCCTAGGACAACTAGTATACAAGACAAGCGGTGATACAAGATTAGCATTTGGCTTTGAACTTTTATTCTTCATAAATTTAGTATCTAAACCATGGGAAAGCTAATTAAAAGTCTCATTATGGAAAACTAAGGAACAGAATATTTCACTCACTTTGGTACCCAGTTCCCAATTATTCACTTGTTTTTATAACATAGCTTTAGATAGCAAGAAATGGACGGACATTATACAATAATGAGTTTTAAAAGTAGTTCAGTGTTTTCATATTGAGAAAAATGTTCAATTCTACTTGAAAAACTAAGCAAACAAATAACTATAATAATAACTATAATCAGAGATAGTTCCATGATCACCTGCTATGGAAGGAAATATGAAGCTTCAAAGAGAATACATAGATCAAAGATAAGACTTCTATTCTTGAATTTAAAATCTCGTTGATCTAAGTACACTATTTGGCTTAAATTACATTTTAAGCAGAGGATAACATTTGGAAAAGGCCTTTGAAATAACTCAGTCTGCCTACTTATTTAAGAAACCAATCACATAAAGAATTTAAATGTAATCAACAGATATTTTCCTGACTACCTGCTATGTGTAAGGAAGTATATGATGCACCTTAGGGGATGTTTATGTTTATGTTTATGCCTTTGATCTTTCTGAAAACATACATTTTTTTGTCTTAGTTTCTATTTTAACCATAAAATATTAAAGCTGGAAAAGGCCTTAGAAGCAACCCTGTCCAACTCTTTTTGCAGTCAAAAAAACTGTGGCCAGGAGAGATTAAGTGACTTAGTCAATGACATAGCCTGTCTCTTTGCTTCCTATTCAGCAATCTCAATACTAAATACCTTGTTTTATTATTTTCATGCGTACAAAGTATAAATACACATAAGTGACATTAATAGGAAAATGATGCAAACATTCTATAGCTTTAACTTCCCTCATGTTGTTATAAACTGCTTTAGGAAGAACACCCCCCAAAATTGATAACATTCCCAGGGCTATGCTCACTCAATTTTACATGCACATACTCACTCTCCCTAATTTTTTTTCATTAGTTTAGGACTTAACAAATTTAGAAATTGTTTCCACTCAGGTATGAACTGGTTTACCATTGCATTATTTATGAAGGAGTGTTTTTCTAAAGAGATTAATAAGGAAGACTATCTAAAAAAAGATTTGTTTTAAAACAGGGTCTTGCTCTGTCACCCAGGCTGGAGTGCAGTGGCACAGTCACCATTCACTGCCGCCTCAGCCTCCCAGGCTCAAGTGATCCTCCCACCTTAGCCTCCCAAGTAGCTGAGACTACAAGCATGTGCCACTGCACTGGGCTAATTTTTTGTTTACTTTTTGTAGAGACAAGGTCTCACTATGTTGCCCAGGCTGGGCTCGAACTCCTAAGCTCAAGTAATCCACCTGCCTCAGCCTCCAAAGTGCTGGGATTACAGGCATGAGCCACCATGCCCAGCCTAATATTTTTACATACTTCAGAGAACAAAAGGTTTTGGCCTTGGGCACTTTTAGAAATAAATTTTATGTTGTAAGATGAATATCCTGTCCTCACCACATTTTGACTACAAATTTAGGTCAGATTTATTTTAATAACTAAATTGTCATGGCTTCAAGCCCTGATTTATAGCTGAAAATTATTTCTTCTCCAGAGTTCTTTGCTCTTTCTGAGAGTTCATTAAGGTGCTTACTCACATAGGCCCAGGAATAGGTTTCTTATATTATGGTTCCTCCTCTTCCCCCTACACGGCTTTCTCTGTGTTCATGATCCTCATGAGATCACAGCTGCCCTCCACATGGGAGAACCACTGATCCCTCCACTTAGGACCTGGGAAGATGACACTGCTCTCCCCTTTCTTATTCCCTTCCATGTGTGTGACACACCTGTTGCTTAAATCTGCACAGCACAACAGAAACTAAAGCTATATGTTTCATCATGACTTTACAGAGATATAAGTAATAAGGGAAGAGAGATATCATGCAAAATAACTTGCTATTATTACAAGAGCCAACAGTCACAAGGCTCTCACCTGGCCTGCATGGCAGGGCTAACTTGCCCTGTGCCACCAGAAATACTCAGGAATCTTTAGAATTCTAAGATGAGGCCAAACTCTCAGAAGGTCCCACAGAAAAGAGTGTTTTTTCTTCAAACCAACTGAAGACCTACTTTCAGAATCCGTTTCCTCTAAGCTTAATTGTTATTAGCTACCTGATCTTCAGGATTTTACAGATCCTGTATATTTTAAGTCACAAAACAACAAGAGAGAAATAGAAACTGTCTGCCTACTTTTTCCCCAAGTGGTAGCTGGAGGTTTGTTTTTCTTTTTTTTTTTTTCTCCAGCCCCCTTTCTTTTGGGACAGAGTCTCTCTCTGTTGCCATGGCTAGAGTGCAGTGGCACTATCTCGGCTCACTGCAACCTCCACCTCACCTCCTGGGTCCAAGCGATTCTCATGCCTCAGCCTCCCGAGTAGCTGGGATTACAGGCACCTACCACAATGCCTGACTAATTTTTGTATTTTTAGTAAAGATGGGGTTTCACCATGTTGGCCAGGCTGGTCTCAAACACCTGACCTCAAGTGATCCACCCACCTCGGCCGCCCAAAGTGCTGGGATTACAGGTGTGAGCCACCGCGCCCAGCCTGTTTTTCTTTTTTAACCTAGTCAACTGACCTAGTTATCGGCAAGTCTTCCCAAATTCTATCATTGAGGATACATTGAGGTTTTTAGTGAGGTGAATTACTGTGTTCTTCTATGTCTTTGTTGCTAGTTTAGTGGAAAAGTTGAAAATACTGTTTTCTCCTAAAATATCTAAAATCCCACATAGACATGTGTAGTAGTTAGGTTTCTCCCGAGAGACAGAACCAACAGGAGGGAGGGAAAGAGGAAGCAAGGGAGGGAGAGAGAGAAATTAGGGGAGAGAGAGAGGATTTATTAGGGCGATTGGCTTACATGATTGTAGAGCTTAGAAGTCCCATGACAGGTCGTCTATAAGCAAGAGAACCAGGGATGCCAGTAGTGTGGCTGTCCAGGTCGGAAAGCCTCAGAACCAAGGAAGCCAATGGTGTAACTTATTAGTCCAAGGCTGGAAGTCTGAGGACCTGGGACTGCTGGTGCAAGTCCTAGAGTGTGGCGGTCAGAGACCCTGGAGTTCTGATGTCCAAGGGCACAAGAAGGGTGTCCCAGCTCCAGGAGAGTGAGAACAAATTTGCCCTTCCTCTGTCTTTTTCTTCTATCTGGACCTTAAGCCAATTGGGTGGTGCTCAGCCACATCAAGGATGGGTCTTCCTTATGCAGTCCACCAACTCACATGCCAATCTCCTTCAGAAACACCCTCACAAACAACCAGAAATAATGATTTTCCAGCTGTCTAAGTATTTCTTAACTTTTCTTAATCCTACAATTAATTATCACCACGATCTAGGTGGGTAATTTAAAAGCTACAAAATTGAAATGCTAATGCACTAGGCTTTGTGATATGTTCTTGGAGCACAGCGGCACTGCCCTCCTATTTGGGATAAGGAGTGGTCTGAAGCAGGCATTAAAGAAGGGAATACTGGGGAAAATCAGTGATGTGGAATAAAAATGTAAGGAGCTCTCTGGCAAGGCAGAGGAAACGAACGTGTACTAAATGATAAATAAGAATATAGGAAGCAAAAATCAGAGCACCAACATTTGTCTAGTAAGTTTTCCAGTTAAAATTTTTAAAACTCCTTTTAAAAAAGTACAAGAAGAAGACAAGAAAACCTTCCTGACCTTAAAAAAAAAAAAAAAAAAAAGGCTGCTTTTTTCCTACAATATGGTCATCCTGTTTTGAAAATGGAGACTGGCATCTATCTTGACATACGCTGGGAAAGGTCTTATGAAGAATGAGTTAAAACCTCCATAAGAATCTTGGAAAGAAAGACAAAATATCTTCAAAGAAACAGACCACCCTGAGAACTTTGACATTAAGTGGCAGAAAACAGTGAAGTGTGATCCGTAGAGCTGTTTCCTTTTATTGAGGAGATAGATTTGGAACTCAAAAATACTACACCTGACCAATTTTCTTTATTTTTTCAAAAAATTTTATTTTGTGAGGGAGATAGAGATTCTTAAAGATCTCAGAAAATATACGTTCCATTTAATTTTCATAAGAAAACGGTGGCTGGGTGAGGTGGCTAACAATTGTAATTCTAGCACTTAGGGAGGCCAAGGCAGGAAGATTGCTTGAAGCCAGGAGTTCCAGACCAGCCTGAGCAACAAAGCTAAACCCTATCTCTACAAAAAGTTAAAAACATTAACTGGGTGTGGTGACTCACACCTGCCGTTCCAACTTCCCAGGAGGCTGAGGTGGGAGGATCACTTGAGCTCAGGAGTTGTAGGCTGCAGTGAGCTATGATCATACCACTGCACCCAGCATCGGCGACAGAGACCCAGAATGAGGAGGGGGAGGGGGAGAAAAAAATAAATTGGTGCTATGACTTTTTTACGTAATGCAAAACTAGCTCTAGAATTAGCAGGTCACAAAAGGACAGGTGTGAGCACTAAAAGCAGTTAAATATTTGCAAATATAGGTAATTATTACAAAACAACATGCAAATGTACTCCTGAAAAAATACATAAGGCAAAATAATTCGAGGATGATGACATGGTTTTGAAACTCAAGAATTGGATTGAGGGATAATGCTTTAGAGGCTTGG